CCAGGCTGGAGATGGCTTCCTGGCCCATTCCCTCTGCTAGTGAGCGCATGATTTCTCCTTCACCAACAAGAGCCAGTTCTCTTACCAGTATCTGGTAAGGGGTCTACCCAAAGGCAGCTTCAAAACTGTTTAACTTCTCCTGTGACTGCCCCAGAGGACAATCTCAGACCATATCAGAGGGGTCACAAAAGTGTCTACTCTCCCTGAGTACAGATACCAAGGAGCAAGGCAAACTGGCTGTGCAAGGTGGATGGAACAGCACAGCACAGGGCCAGACATCCTGGGAAGATGCAGCCATGGCTAGAGCCACTTATGTTGATTAACTGAGGATAAGCAAGGGCAGCAGAATGACTTGCTTTCTTCCATGGTACAGTGAGAGGGATCAAGAGACTTGTTTGTTCCTGGCTGGGCCTGATCTGCAGCTCAGGGCTTCAAAACAAACAGGTCTGTAAACAGGAGCTGCCTGCCCACACCCCAGCAAGGGGTGAAAGAGGGGAGAAGATGGACCAAACACCCCTGATCACTCACCATGAGGCTGCTGCCGGAGGAGAACAGCTCCAGATGCCAGACTGGATTGTCAGGCAGGAGTCCAGGGGTGCCAGGGCCATGGCATAACTGGGACTGGGCTGCACTGAGAGCTGTGGCAGCTTCCACATTTGCCTGACTGCTTTTCTGCCTTGTCAGTGACGCTGCCAGCGGCAAGATGCCATAGCAATACCCTCCAGCATGCTCCCTTATCTCCCATCTCTGTTTCCCCTTGCTTATCCTCTCCCAGCTGCCCCACATATGAAACACCAAAAGCCTCAACATACTCCTTAAAGGCAGCACCTTCATCAAGGAAGGAAAGGGGGTAGAGGTAGAAGCCCATTCCCACAAGCCGTCATCCCTGCCCACCTCAGGTGCAAGGACCCTACTCTGAACCCAGGTGCATTGCACCCCACCTTGTCTACTCTCAAGGCAAGGCACAGGAGGGCCACACAGACAGATTCGGGGAGTAGAGGCCTTTTAAACAGCATTTCCCTTATGCTGTGGCAGGCAGGGATGCTTCAACATTCTCACCTATTCCATAGGGCCTGCTCCATGGGGGTGACCTGCAGCCCCTCTCCAGTCCAGTCCAACACATCTGCCTGCAGGTTAGAAAGCCCCAAGAGCTCTTTCTACATTGCAGTAGCACCAGATCTGATGGGAATGGGGATCTCAGACTTTTCTTCATGCATCCTGGCAGGCACTTCTTAAGCCTCTGCTCTGCAGTTGCTGACAGTTTCCACTCCAGGCAGGTCTGTACTGCTGCACCAAAGCTCACTGTGGCTTAAATCAGAGACGGGATCCCGCTTTGTTTCTTGCCTTAAAAACTCTTCTCTACCATTGCTACGTGCCACTAAACAGTTACCCAGCTTGGGTGGTAAGCGGAGCTCTTCTCCCTTTCACCTCTCTTACACAGGCACAAGACACAAGGGGAAGACAAAGGACTCTTTAACCACACTCAGGAGTGATACCTGTCAATATTTTTCAATGTGTAAATTCAACAACTTTGCAGGCAAGCAAAAAAACCTAACCTTCTAAAAGCTCTGCTTCTCTCTCTGTTCTGCCCTTTCCCACAACCAGTTACATCACTTGAGGGTTATAGCAGAAGCTAGCAAAGCCTCGGTCTTGATCCAGGATGAGTCACGGAGCTCCAGAGGCTGTGCAACTTCCTTCTGATACCATCAACCATACTTTGCACAGCTAAAAATAAAGATGGGCCAAAACTGCAGAGCCACATCTTGCCTCAACATGAAACTCAGCACTGCTCAGCACTGCTGAAAAATTACCTGAGCAGGTGGAAACCAAAAAGTGCATGGAAGCCAAAAGTCTTGGGTATAGAAAAAAGGGAGAGGGCAGGAGGCCCCACCCTGTGCCACGCTGAAGGATAGTGGTGGCAGATGGCAAGTAGCCATCCAGCCGTAGAGATGGCTTGAACCAGGATCTCACCTCACTCAGCTGTGGGCTTTGGAGTATTTCCACACCTAGAGGTTTTGTGGAAGACTTGTTTTCAGCAATGCATGCTCCCATCTGAGACAACAGGAATCAACTGCTGCCAAAAAGAAGGATGCACATTTCTTGCAGGAAGCTGCAGTCCGCTTCCCACCAGGCAACACATGCGCATCTGTAAAGCAAGGTCCAAGGGATGTTCAGAGCTAAAGGTTACAAAAAGGAGTCACAGATACAGTTGATATGGGTTAGATGTTGAGCTAAGTGAGGAATTCAAAGTTCTTTCTACTCCCTGGGACACTGTGCCCAAGCAAAACCTTCACACATGAGGAAACAGGATTCTCACACAGATCTTAGCAGGAAGCCGTAGGATTGCACAAAAATAGGAGCTCAGAGGGACACCGGCAACATTCAGAAACCTAAAATAGCCTCAGCAGATGATCTTGCTGCTCCCAAGAATGGAGCAGAGGAAGTGAACAAGGATCCAGCTGTCCCAACACTCCAATGAACAGGATCTTTGAATGCCCAACCTATTTGCAACAGAGATGGTAAGGCAAATAGGGGATTCCTTGCATAACTCCAGTGCCAATATCTGCAAGGAGCCCAGAGCCAGTTGTGAAGGAGAAGGCAGCATTTTCTTGTGGTTTTCAGTGGAAAGACAATTTAGTGCTACATGATCTGGTCACACTCTGGGGCAAGGGCAGGCTACACACACCAAGAGAAGGCTGGAAGACATTATGCTGACTGCCTTCTGTTGAAGATATAAACTACACTTTGTTCAGTCATTAGATTTCCCAGCACAGGGTTCCATCCCATTCCCAAGAGAGGCACTGCAATTCTGTCCATGGGTCTGTAAGCTGTATCAGTTTCCAGACCACCACCAGCTGCACTAAACTGAACCAACATTGCTAATTCAGCCCAAATATATAAACTCACTGGTATCACCTGGGTAAGGTGATATACAAACCAGAGAACAGCTCCATGCTGTGGCCAAGCAACAGGAAAAGCTAATGCTTTACACATAAATGTGAGATTTGCTGTCCATTAAGATATTAGGCTAACTGGTTATCAAGGAAGGGTGGGAGAAAAGTGGATCCAATACTATGCCATAGGGGTGTGAGGCACTGGCACAGGTGGCTCAGAGAAGCTGAGGATGTCCCACTCCTGGCAGTGTTTAAGGACAGGCTGGATGGGGCCCTGAGCAACCTGGTCTAGAGTGTAGCTCCCCTGGCCCATGGCAGGAGGTTAGGAATGTGATCTTTACAGTCCCTTTCAAACCAAGCCTTTCTGTGTTTCTGTGGTGTGCCCTTAAAAGTCAGGAGCCCTGAGAGGATGCTGTGAACTTAGTTGACTGGGATCTACAAGCAGCTCCAGCAGAACTGAGTGCTAACCTTTTCTCTGGTCTTTGCCATGTCTCTCATCACTAAGAGAGATATAAAACCCCACCATGGAACAGGTATTAGTGAAAGCCATAACCTGGATAGATAAAGGGGCTGCTCTCCTCTCAGTGCATTGTGTGATTGCTAATTTTCAGCACAGGGCACTGGCATGAGCAAAGGACTTCTTCTTTCCTTCCTTTCACCTTCACAGGTAAATCTATCCCTGCCTCACCCACTGTGGGTACCACTTCAGCATCAGGCTGAAGAATGATATGGCCTGAAGCCCAGTTTTCAGCTGCCTCTGGATTGGTCTCAGCTTCTCTAGTAGACACTTCAGAGTAAGAGCTGCAGAGCCTGGGCAGCTATGCCTCCTAAACTATGTCTTCCCCATATAATCTGTCCTGGCCAAATCACACCTGAGCTCTAGGGTGAAAGAAGGGTTCATCTTACCCTGCCATAGGCACAGTCTTGATGAGGGCTCCCTTTCAGGTGAGAGTACACCGTGCACTGCTGGATTCTAGGCAGGAACACAAGAGTCCATGGACCGGGCAGATAGCTCACAGCCATCTCAGGCTGCTCCAGGCTGGTTGCCTCAGAGGGGGAATACAAAAACTGATGGTCCTCCTGAAACACTTTATCTGAGCCTCACGCACCAAAGCCAAGCTACAATATCCTGGGAAAATGCAGGAAAAACCCAAATACTGCTAATAAAGAACACGACTACATCTGCCACAAGCTCTGGGTAGACCCTCAGCTGGGTTCAGAAGGACAGCAGGGGCCTGCAACTGGGAAATGCTCCCAATTCAATCCTGCTGTCATGCAGAAGGACAAGTGTGGCAAACAGTACAGACTGCAAGTTCGCAAGAACACATTGCCCTTGAGCTCCTGACAACTGTGTGCAGGGTTCAACAGTCTTAGAAGCACTGGTTTCACACATCCAGGTTCCCTTTGCCATGCTGACAGCCAAGTAGGATGCAGGAGCACCCAAAAAACCTTGGCTGTGGGAGAACCTCACCTGGGTGACATCTACTTTACAGAGCTATCCCTGTGATGTTGCAGATGATAGATAAATATGATTGTTCATAAATAATACAGCTAGGATGAGAACAGTTCTCCCAGCTAGCCGGATGACATCCCTGCCTTTAGATGAGTCCTGGGGTGAAATGGACTGTTCCATCCCACCCCCCAAAATATGTATGGTTCATCCCACACCTCTGTACCCTCCCCTAAAACATTAGTGTCTGTAACCCCATTGGATATGCCTCATCCCAACTCTCTCCGAAGCTCTCCTGATAAGGGGGCTTCAAGGGGCCACGCGCTCTCTTGGAACTTCATCCCCTCTTGGAACCTCTCCCCCTCCCTTGGAGCTTCCCCTCTCCCAAACCCTCCTTTTGTCTCTCCCCTTCCCCACCCTCTCAGGCCCGGCCACGTGCTGTGTCTGGGAGCACGAGGCAGAACCTTCTGCACCCCCAATAAACCTCTTTCCCCAACAGCAAACTTCAGAGATCTCTGCCTCCATTCATCAACACTGTGCCGGAGCGTGGTATTTTTCCTCGCTGTGAGCCAAGGGGAGAAGAGCACAGAGTTTCCCGTTTCTTCACAGACCCATGATGAGGCAAGGGAAATCAGTGATGTTTGAATGTTGCTAACCTTGGTGTAGGGCTGAAGTAGACAGAGAAGGCAGCTCTCAGCTATCAGCCCTTGCAGTGTGGCCTTGAGGTTGCTTGTTCTGGCAGTCTTGGGTCACCTGGAAAGAGAAGTCCACACACAGGTTCAGTTGGAACACCAGGTGAGCAGTTACTGCCCACCCAGTTACAAGCCAAGTGAGTTAGTGGCCCATGCCCAGAAGTGAGAAACCCCAAACACCCCACCAGCTCAAAGATCCCACCACATCTTTTACCAGTGCTGAGGCTGCCCCTCCAGATGCAGCCCAGACTCCCTCCTGGGTTCCAGCTACCCCCAGTTCCCTGCACAACTCCAGGCAGGTGCACAGTCAGCTCTCCAGAGAAAACTGCTAAGGTCACATCCACGATATCCCTGCCCAGATTTCAGTGGGAAATAAAGGCCTTTCTGTGCCTTTGGCTTTGTTCTTGTCCAACCACACAGCTGTAGGTTTCTCCACCACACAGGCTTTGCTGTACTCGAGTGGGTGCACTGGCACATGGTTTATCTGCAAGAGGCACTGGCTGTGGTCCCCACAGGCCACCTGCTAAGCTACTGCATGAAGACACAGAGTCAGGGCAGGGAGGGACATACTCCAGTGCTGGAGACACACCCCTCCCAACAACCCAAATAGACCAAGACAAATCCAACACCACAGTGTTTCCCAGGCTACAGAGAAGGGAGTAAATGACAATTGCTTAATAGAAATCTCCGAGAAGCCTGCCAACACCATCACAAAGATGTTGTTTAAGTCTCCTCCCCAGGCTCACAGTGCTTTAATTGCAGACCATTGGAGATCACACTTTGTGGGGGCTAGGTCCTTGTGCATAGCAGGTCCTGGAAACCAGGATGGTATCAGCCTCCTCAGGATCAGGCCTGACCTTCCTGTGGCTGCAGGCATGATGGGCAAAAGCTGTTGTGAGGCAGTCTTTGCTCTCTAGCTTGATCATCCACACAGGCAACTACCCTAGCACAGCTCAGCTGTGACCAGAGCCGCTGTGCCGAGGAGCAGAGCATTGCAGGCAGACAAGCTGCCAGTGCCCCCAAAACACAGCCTTCACACCATGGTGCAGGGAGGCATGGCCTCACTACCCTACTGGGGCTTCAGCCCTTAAGACTGTCCTGAGGGCACCCAGAAAGTTTGTGCTTAATAACACCTGCACTGGCATCCCAGGAGAAGTTCCATCTGGAAATGGTACCAGCTAGGCACAAGGGCTATTGGGTTGGAGAGCTTGTAAGCAGAACAAGACCCAGTAAATGCAGCATATGTAGATATAAATATACATATATAAAAACCCTCCACCATATCCCTCCTCTAGCACACTGTCATTCAGAAATGGCTCAAAAGGCACTAAGCCTGAGCAGTGACAAGAATTGCTTTGGACATGGCTGAAGTACTGCCACCCACATACTGCAGCAGCACAGGAAGCAATAGCAATGTATCTGAAAGGGATGGGTTGAAAACACTACCCAGGAAGAATGCAATTACCCCGAATGGACTGAGGCCAGGAGTTCTGGATTATCACCTCAGCTCTTGCATAAAGGGCTTTGCATCTTTGTTCACTTCCAACAAGAATCTCAGGGCTGACATCAACCCTGGCCCAGGACATGGATTTGTTACTAAAAAGCACTTCCAGCTGAATCACTAACTTCCCATTTTCCAGCACACAGGACTCCTTTGAAGGTTTCCCATCCAAGTACTGTTTTACCATCATGCTGTTTAGCTGGGGGGTTGTCCAGGCCACAGGCAAGTATGACTGCAAACCACTGGCCAGTCCTGAAAAAGCTCTCTGAAACACAGAGCATGTGAGCCCAGCTGCCCTTCATTCAGGATTCACAACCAACTGAAGATGCAGAAGGAAACAGGGAGAAAACATGTTAATTGGCAGCTGGGCATCCACAGGCCAAGCAAGAGAGACTGTGAAAGAGAGGGGCAAAGCCAAAGGGAGGATGAGCAGAGACACTTCCCTGTCAAAGAAAAGAATTATTAAAATAGGCCTCAAACTTTGTGGGACCAAGTTCTCTGGAGGTTATATTCACCTGGCTCACTTGATCACAAGCAAAACCAAAATGAAATAACAAAGGAACTGAGCTGGTCAGAAAGTAGGTGCCAGGGACCAGAGGTGCCAGTCGCTGCAAACAGAAGTGAGGATCAGAAACATGGTAATATGGCATTACCAGGATACAGAGGCCCACACAGATCCCTGGAAGAAGGAGGTCCCTGGGAATCATGCAACATGGAGAGACATCAGGCAAAAGCCTCTCAGAGAAGACTCTCACAAAGTAACCTGCAACAATCTCACTAAGTAACCTGTTACAAACCATCTGCCAGCATACAAATATCTCCTTTCAGGATTTATCCCATGCTGCCCTTCACATCTGTACTGTTTCAAACCCAACTCATTAATTCCTCCAGCTACCAAAGCCTCTGATAATTTCATTACAGCTCCATTGACAGCATGCTGAGGACACCACTTTTCTAACCATATGGCTTCACTTTCTCCTTTCTTGTCTGTGGCCACATACTTACCAACAACAGGTTTTCTTATTCTGCATCAGGAAGTGTCCTGGCACCCAGTCATAGTGCATTTCTACACATCACACAATGGTGTCAACCAGATCTAGCAGAAGACAAACCTGGGCAGGCCCAGAGCAATACGAACATGTAAAGGACTTGGGAAGAGCCAAGAGTCTTTGACTTTGAAGACTCAGATCAACAGCCATCCTCTTCAATCACCCTCAGACTCAAAGAACAAAGTTCGGGTATCTCAGGCCTCTGGTACTCAGCACAGTCATGCAGAAATGTGCCAGGGCAAGCAGCCTGTAGCAGACAGCAAGGAGGAAGACCGGGGCAAAGATGCACTTCTCCTCAGTAAGCTGCGGCTCTGAACAATGGAGTTCCCACAGTACAGAGTGACCCCACCAGATTTCCTTCCTTCAGTGGGTAAGAAACCTCTCACATGAGGAATAGAAACAAGGCGTTTCACCCACTACCCCGGGTGAGTGGTACAGCTGAAACAGCCCCAGCACTGCTCCAACTGTGGGTGGACCTTGGTCCAAAAGCCCAGTTCACCAAGGGACATAGTTGTGGTGACAGCAGGGCTCTGCTGTCCTGACCACCCTAGTCTCTATGGGAAGGGACATGTCCAGGCCCCACCAGAGTCAGCAGGAATACAGTATTACGGTTAAATGTTATGGGAGCAGGGGCTGGAGGTCAGGCAAGGGCAAGTGTTGACACCCTGGCAACAAACACTGTGGCAGCAGCATCCCTCAGAACCAGCCCCATCCGAACCCCTCAGCCCTGCCAACTCCCACCAGTGCCCTGCCCTAGTGCTGGGACTGCATGCTGGCACTGCATGCTGGCACATGTAGAGTCCCCATCAGCACCCTGCCACTCACTCATGCTGAGACCCAAACCATGGGAATTGCTGCTGTGAAACAAGGCGGTGACCAGGCTTTACAGGATGACTTCATTCTCCCAGTCCTCAACCTAAAGCCCAGCCCTGCCAAAAGTAACTCTAGCACTATCACATTGGGAGTTTTCTTCTATGTCACCTGCCGGACCTTGTTCACCTCCTCGTGCTACCAAGCTTGCCAAGACACTGCTTTGTGTCAGGGTTCAAGCTTGCTACAATCTCCACAATTTCTCAACTTTTCCTCTTTACTGATGCCAACAGATACGATTCAGGGAGAGGGCAGGTCTGCAAGCACATCTCTGCTTGTCTGATGTTTTTAAAAAGGCAATGAGTGGAAATTACTTTTAAAATTTAAATTTAGAGCACAACATTCCTCTACCATGCATTTTCCACTGCAACTGCAAATTCCACACGCCTTCTTTCAAAGAAAAATAATAAAAGGAGTGTGGAAACCCTGGAGGTGTGTGCCCTTCATACTGATGGATTATGTTCACGGGTGGGTCGTGAGCAAGCCCACCTCAACAGCAATCACCATGCAGCCATTTCCTCTGACTTCCCTAATAGACCACCTTTCCAAACCTGACACCCGGGCTGCCGTTTCTGTATAAAACCTGCAAGATGCTTGAAAACCTCGGTAGGACGGCAGCTGCTGATTTCGGGAGGGGAGTGCCCCCGACAGGCCCTTCCGCCCGCGGCTGGCTGTCACCAGAGGGCGGCGGATGCCGGGGTTCACATCCGCCCCGGCGCCCACCCCGCACCCCACGCCGGGGCCTGGGAAGGGACCCCGGGGCGGGTGCCGCCCGAGGCGCGCCTCCCGCGCCCCCGGGGTACCCGGCCCCACCGCCGCGGGCCGTGCCAGGACAACCCACCACGTCCCAGCTGGGCTGGAGCTAATGCCCGCGGGAGGAAGAAAAAGAGGAGGAGGAGGAGGAGGCCCCACCGTGCGGGCAGAGCTGCAGACAGGCTGTCCCAGCCCATGTCACAGCGCAGAGGACGTGGCCCTGGTGGGCGAGACCAGGGGCAGCGCAGCCTCCCTAAGCTGCCGGGGAACTGGGAGCCGGGATCGGGGACACCCCGCAGCAAAGGCTGCACCCCGTTTCGGTCCACACCTGCCTCTGCCAGACACTGCCCTCCCGAAGCCTCAGTTCCCCCGGGCACCCCCGGCCCCCCAGAGTCGCTCTGCGGTCACACCGCCGCCTGACCCCCCCGCCTCGGCACCTCCTGCCACAGCCTCCGCCGGTGCCAGGCCTCTTGCCGGCCCAAGTGCCCCGGCTACAGCTCCCCACCTCGGTCACAGTCCCCCACACTCACAGACACCCATCCCGGTCACGACCTCCCCAGCACAGAGACCCACATCTCGGTCAAGGCCCCCCACCGCTCGCAGTTGCCCATTCAGTTTACGACCTCCCCCATACTACCCGATCACGGCCCCTCCTGGTCGCGCCTCCCCCAGCTCCGGCTCGCCCCTGCGGTCTGGGCTCCAGGTCCCAACGGCCCTCCCGAACCTTCTGGAACCGGAGGACGGCGGCAGAGATGGGGCGCACGAACCCGCTCGCACGCCGCACGGGGGGCCCGTCCCCGCCGGACCCCGGCCGTGCCCCGCGCCCCCCGGCCCTACCCGTCGCGGCCCCGCCGGACCCACCAGCGCCCCCTCCGCCGCTGCCGCCGCGGCCCCGACTGTGCGCGGCTCCTGCGTTCCTTCCGGGTGCCGCTGCGGACACGCCTCCCGCGCGCTGATTGGTGCTCTGGGCGGGGCAGGGCGCGGGGCGGGCGAGCCGCGGGGCCGCGCGGCCAATGGGCGGTGAAGCCCCGCGCCGAGACCCCGCCTACGGCCCGCCCCCTCCACGTGCGGGAGTGTGATGACAGCGGGGAAGGGGCGGGCCCGGGCGGCGTGGCGCTTCATTGGCCGGCGGCGGCGGCGTGGGCGGGGCCTGGCTCGGCGCGGGGCGGGACTGCCGCCCCTGACCCTGCGGGCTGAGGGGGCACCCCGGCCCCACGGGCGCGGCGTGTCCCACCCACGGGCACGGCGTGTCCCACTCACGGGCACGGCCTCACGAGCACGGCGTGTCCCACTCACGGGAGCGGCCCCACGGGAACGCCATGTCCCACCCACGGCCACGGCGTGTCCCACCCACGGGCACGGCCCCACGGGCACGGTATGTCTCACTCAAGGGCACAGCCACCCCAAGCGGCAGCCGTCTCGTCCCTACCACGTCCCACCCCAGAGGTGCCCCCGGCCCCACGGCGTGTCCCACCCGTGCACACACCCACGGGCACAGCATGTCCCAACTCCACAGTCACCCTTCGCCCAGCACCATGCATGCGAGCTGTGCCAGCCCCAGAGATGGCCCTCCCTGCCCATGGAGATGGCCTCCCCAAAGTGAGACCCCCGCGGTGTCCCTTGTCTCATGCCCCGAGTGGAATCACCCTGGTGTTCCCCACTCCCCAGCTGGTGCTGGTGCCCCACAGGCCGGGGCCATCTACCCACACTGCCGGGCTGTGCCGGCCTGTGCCAGAGCCCACCGTGGGCACCGGACCCGGGGGGCAGCTGCCCCCCTGGATATGGCTGCTCAGAGATACCAAAACACCCAGCAGCCGTGGGGTACCTGGGCAGTGCCACCCGCTTGTGGGGATGCCAGCAGGATCCACTGCCCCGAGGGGAAGCAGCCCACAGCTCACCAGCCTGACCACGGGCCATTTAGGTCATGGAAGAGATGCCTTGACTTCATCACTTTTGGGTGAAGTTCGGTAAAGATCAGTCCCCCAATCGACTTTTCTCTCTCCTCAGGAAGCTACAGCTGCAACACCACTCTAAAAATAGTGGGGACCAGTATCGTCAAATGATAAATATAACCAAGATCTCCTTTTCTGACAGCACACAGTGAGTTGGATGTGAACCTGCAGTGCACTGGCTGCTGAGTCCCAACGCTCCCCTTGCCTTGCTGCTGATCCTGGGGCATTATTTTCGGAGGTGCTGTCATCGATAAAGCTGTGCTGATGCTGTCTGGGAATAGCCATGAGCAGGACAGACGGTTCTCTGACAGCCGTGCCCTGCACGTGCCGCTCTGCAGGGAGAAATGGCAGCTCAATGTCCTCTGGACAGCTATGTGGCCATGGAGCAGCAGCTGCCAACTCAGGACCCCATCTTCTCCTGGGGCCTCAGATTGCTGCTCTAAGCAATTTCTTGTTAAATAACCCCTGGCTGTCCCCACATTCAGCTTGTGGGCCACTAAAGGTATTTAATGTATGGAACAGTCTAATTTCTGAGTGTAATGACAGGAACATGTGATTCTCCAGTGTTCCTTGTGACTTAGGAGCCGCTGACTCAAACTTTGTGTGTACAGGTGCTGGTGCCAGGAAGAGCCCAGGAAGCTCATTTTCCCCACATGCCCATTTTTCCTTCACAGTGCAGATTTTCTACAGACTTCCAGGGCAAAATTTAGCTTTTCTGTCTTTTGACCCTGCATGTCATCTCTGCTGAGCTGACAAGAAATTCTGGAGTCCAACAGGAAGGCAGCAGAGGCTATGGAAACCAGGGATGGGCTGAAAAAGGCTCAGTCCCCATCACACAGCTGCTTACACAGGCTGTGTTCTCCACTGTAAACTGGCTGAAACGAGTTCACAGTTAAAAAATGGTTAATGAACCTTTATTGGCCTGAACAGGAACTCAACTGGAACAACTTCAGTCAAAGCTGAACCACTGTGGAGCTGAATCAAAAAAATTTGCTGGTTCAGCTCCTTGGTTGGGGGGAAATATAGGCTCCTTTGTCCTTGACAAGAATAATACATTTCTGTTTATTGTATGGGCAGTGAAGGATTAATAATATCCCAAGTTATTTACCTCCCGCTTCTGAGTGCTGAGGGTTTGTGAGCGATGTCCCTGCTGAGCACACTGTCCCTTAGCAACCTCCCCTGGTTTTTGAAACATGTTCTCACTTCAGAAGCAGGATTAAGGAGCAGGACACAAAAGCCCCTTTTACCAGTCTGATGGGGTGAGGCTGCTCCCATTGCTCTTCCCATGGGGCAGAACCTCAACTATGGCCACTTGATGGGCACAGTAACACAAGCTGTGGTGATTTGGAGAGCATCTGGAAAAACTTCCAGAGGCTTGGGAGGTTTGGGGATGGAGCAGACTTACTGCACAAGCTATATTACTTCTCTACAGAGGGGCCCACCCTAGGCCTTGCCAGGAGTAGCCTTCATCTATTCCTTACACACACTGGGGACTTGAAAAGGGCTTTACAAGGGTTGGTGAAGGCAAACAAGGGGTTTAAGCACATTAGGCATGGCTTTGCACCAGAGTTGGCCACTTTCCAGACTCGCCTGCCAGGAGGGCTGGGAGAAGGGTGTTTTCCCAGGAAGATGAGGTGTCCCAAGCAGCACATGGTGAAATGACGTCCTTCCGTCTTGAGCCTTTCTGCCTGCAGGGCTTCCCTTTGAAGGGTGTCCTGGTGAGGTGACTGAGTGGTGGTGAGTTCATCCCTGGGTTACCTCCTTCCTGGAGCTGCCAGTGCTGCCCCAACCTGCCTGCAGCGAGCTGGGGCTGTTCAGCCTGTTTGCCAGGCTGGCTGCTCCCACTCAAAAGGCTGTCAGGTGCCAAGCTCCAGGATGCTGAGGAGCTGACACAAGCAAGGTTCCTGCCCCAGTTTTAATTTAATTTAATGGTTTTCATCATGGAAGAGCGGCATCCCCATGCACACACTCATTTTGTTGGTGTGGGCAGGTTTCACAATTGCAAAAGTGCCCTTGAGAAGTACATGGATCATCTGTCAGTGCTGATGGGGCAGGATGTGCCTGTATAGGGGTGATGCTACCCCTGCATCACCTGTACACTCCCCGTGCCAGCAGGCTGTGCCATACCATGTACATCTGATCCAAGTCCATAGGTAGGTAAAGCAATAAAGGACCCATGTGCAGAAGCAAGCCTGGTAAGACTTGGAGTCCTGCCAGCAAGAGATTGTTGGGAATTTTAAAAGGACCTTGGAAGAAGCTGGTGGAAATCAGCTATCACGTTGTTTTGGGGCCCTTGGCAAGTGGTGGCAGGTTGGGTGGGGTGTGGATCAGTGGCAGGGCTGGACCAGGCACTGTGTGGTGACTCATGGCCTCATCCCAGCTGGTAGAAGAGCTGGAGAAAGCTGAAAAGACAGGTGTACTAGAGGAGCATAGGGTGTCACTTCCTTTCTTAACGGTGTGTTGCCACAAAAAGGCTTGCATTTTTGTATCTCTCACAGTCCCAGTCCTAGGCATGCAGCATGGACTGTATCTTCTGCAATGCCTGCCTCTGTGGGGTTTAATGCTTCTTGTCCTCCCTGTATTTTGCAACTAGAGGAGACAAAGGCCAAAGCCTGTCCCTCTTTCTCTGAGACTGTCACAAGGAGAAGATGCACTGTAGTGCCCTGTGGTCCTGTGTTGGAGCTAGGGAATTTTCCTGGGGGAATGTGAACCAGTGCTGCAGGACCTTTCCCCCGCCAGAACCTGGTTCCATGATGTGCTTGGTTTACCTGTTTGACAGAAACAGCTGTAAAACTGAAGATAGAAATCAAACTTGGAGAGTTTCCTGCTGGGGGAGTCCTACTGCCCTCGGGGGAAGAGATGGCATTCTCTTTTGGCACTGTGGGAATTCCTTCTGGTAACATCTCCAAGCAGAGCTTGGGGTCACAATAGAGATGGAGTCACTGTGGTATGCTGACTGAGTCCCAGTGCCCACCAAAGCCTCATCCCAAACTGGGCATGTCTCAGAGTCCTGGTGGGAAAGGAAGAAGTGAGAATGATGGATTTGAGATCACTTTAACAAACACAGGGTAGTAGGGCCAGGTAGGGCTGCTCTTTTGCTCCCATACCCACACTATACTCATAGTTCCAGTGTTGCCTCTCCTATTAGCTGTCTCCCAGCACCTTTGTAGAGGAGGGCAGCATTGTGATCCCCAAGGTACCATGGTGGGCCTTAGAGACCAAGGAAAAAAGGATGGATGATCTGGAGTCTGACACAGGTCATTAACCCAGTGCTACAGACTTCACTGTTGTCTGAGACACACATGGGACTTCCCAGAATTAAACAGGAGTCCTGGCTATGTACAAAACTCGAAAGATCTGTCCTGGAGATGCTGGCAGTCTGGGTTCTAAGGGATAAAGGCTGTTGGCTACAGCTTGGCAGGCTAAGGTTGCTCAGCAAGAAGAATTTCTATGTAGCCCAGGGCAGGGATCTCCAGCCCTGGGGATCTGAAGTACAAAGCCATAGAAAATATGATGTTGTGTTGGTTGCATCCCATTCTGAGCAGGAGGTCAGACTGAGGATGTCCCTGCCTGTCCCTGCCACAGTGTTTCCAGGGCTGGAACAACACCTAGGGACTTCATGTGGCTGTTCAGCATCAGGAAAATAATCCCTGTTCTCTTTTCACTGTTGGAAATGTAGAGCTCCAACTGCTGCCACTTCACCCCTCAGGGTCACCCATTGTCCTAGACAGTCTGACTTCACTTAATGGCCCTCTGCCTCAACCTGCAGCTGGGGAGCTGTGGGACGGGCTTGGATTAAAGGTGGCATAAGGGACGTGCTCTGAAGAGGATGCCGGTGATCTGGGCGAGCTCTGGGAGAAGTGCCTGGCCCCACACACTGGATATGTGAATGGTCCCCTCCCTCATTCTCTTTTCATGCCTAAGCCTCTCCCCCTACAGCTTCCCTGCAGAAATGTTTCATTTCTTATACGCCTGCCTTGAAAAGAAAATA